TTTCTGTTTCCTTTCTTTCTTTTTTTTGTTTTCTTTTTCTTTCTTTCTTTTTTTTTTTTTTTTACAAATTGAAGGTTTGTGGCAGCCCTGTGTCAAGCAAGTCTATAGGTACCATTTTCCAACAGGCTCAGGTGATGGTTAGCATTTTTTAACAATAAAGTGTTTTTAAATTAAGGTATGTACATTTTTTTAGACATAATGCCATTGCACACTTAATAGACTACAGTATAGTGTAAACATAACTTTTATATGCACTGGGAAACCAAAACTATTGTGTGACTTGCTTTATTGAGAAATTGGCTTTATTGCGGTGGTCTGAAGCTGAACCTGTGATATCTCCAGTGTATGCTTGCACTACATTTTCTTAGGGTTTTGTTTTGTTTTGTTTTGTTTTGTTTTGTTTTAAGAGTTTTAGTGGTGCTGCCAAGCAATGTTCAATATTCACATAATGTGAAACAGAAGAAAACAGTCTTACATTTAAAAAGCAACCAGTTCAATTGGCTGAAGGAAAACATCTTCACTGTTTAGGAACAGATAAGTCTACCAGACAGTATGTTGAGAACAGACCACTACCTTACTTGAATATTTAGTCAATAAATGATCTGAAGATGATATATTATTCTCCCTGAATGTTAAGGGGGAAAATGGTAAAGTAGTAAATATAGGAAAGATGAAAACGTATAAAGGGGAAAAAATTATCACCCATAGTCCAACCATCTCTAGATGGTCACTGTTAACAGCTACAGTCCTTTCTATGACAATTTTCGATATGCACACATGGGTACATGTTCTTACAAACTGGATCATTCTTTATATACATCATTTAATGCCAATTTAATGTCGATTCTCTTGACATTACACATTCTTCAAAAACATACATCTTAATCACCTCAGAATAGTCTACTGATGTGTTACAGAATTTGTTTAATCATTCTCCTACTGGTAGATATTTAGTTTTCTTTTATTTTGTATTTTATTATTATAAATAATGCTGGGTTAAAGACAAGCTGGGACCACTTCTCAAATTACTTGGTAAAATGACTGATATATAATATAAGCCTAAACTGCCCTTGCCAGAGATGGTATGTTTTTATGGAAGGTGTGAGAGTGTCTGTGAAGCCACAGCCACCTACCTGCAATGCTGTTTAGGGAATGGGGAAAAAAATACAACATATCACAATCCAGAGAGTTTTCCAACACAGTGAAATAAAATCCTTTTTTAAAAAACAAAAAAACAAAAACAAAAGCAAAAACACCCTTTTTAATTTCCCCAAGTATTGTGTTTATAACTTCTAAAAATTGGAATTTATATAAAGCTAACATCTTTAGAAATAGCTTTTTGGTCTCTCCTGCCTCTAAAACATATCACTTTGTATAGCCTATAAATATTTTTACAGTTCATTATGCAGAGTAACTAGGTTTTAAAATTCTGTAAGCATGATAACAGGATATTTAGAGACATGTATGCTTTTCTTCAAACATAAGCCCCTTTTTAAATGCCACACATTCTTTGTGAAGTATGCATGAAGCATTTTTAATGGGTCCCATCCTTTGGTTCCATTCATTTTATGAAATATCTTGTTATGATAATTATATAATTTGTGTTTGTGCCTGTGTGTACAAAATCAGATAACATAGCATATAATGTAAAAATTGAACTGGACTAGGAGTTGGGGAAAATTTTTGCCTATTCAATTCAGTACATTATCTCATATATCAGGTTGCCAACAAAATTAAGATACTATTACTCATCAACAAAACTCTCTCAAGACTATCATGATAGGGTCTCCTGGGGTTTGAAATCCTAGAATGGAAGAGAGTTGTACCATAATTATTAAATGAGTATTTTAAAGAATGAGCAGTTTATTGCTCTTTTCACTTGGTTTTCAATAGTCTATTTATATCACCTTGACAATAGGAAGAGTATAAACTTTGTCACTATCTGCTTAATAATTATTCCATTAGTTGAGTTAAACAAAAGAAAATGTCACTTCACTGTGGAAATAGCAAGTAACTATCCATGAATATGTAAATTCTTACCTTTAAGCTTTTTTTTTTTAAAGCAAACAAGTAGGTTAGTGATAGCCAACTACCCTACCAGCACACTTTTATACTGTTCGAAATGCTTATCAACAATGCCAGAATGACAGTCCTAAAATAAAAACTACCTAGTTATATCCAGAAAAATCGTCAGTAATAGACTTTGTCCTATTACTCTTGCTTGAGGGTTATCCTTAGGGGCAGTAATGCATTCCCCAAATGATCAGATGATTAGCTAAGTGCTAAATACTATCCTGGTGTTACATTTTCTATTTACGTATAAGTTTCTGGTTTTATTTCCTTGCTGGTTTATAAAAAGTACTACGCATGGAAAGCTAATTCAGATCACTATTCACAGCTCATAAAAATCACAGATCATCACAAACAACAAATTTTTGATAACATACATTAGACATCTTTAAAATAGCAATGTAAAAATAATATTGTAATAACTACGTATGGTATCAGATCGGTACTAGACTTATTGGGGTGATCACTTTCATAAGGTTTATAAATGTCTATTGTATGTCAACTATAATTGAAAAAAATTTTTAAATGTTATATAAAATCTGCTATCATTATCATCCAGCCCACAGCTTTCCTCGAGTCCTCAAGTTACTCTGACCCAGTGTGGATAGAGTACAGAAGGTAATACAAGCAGGATTAACAGAGGTTATGTAAGAATCACAAGCAGAACAGCAGATAGCAGAGTAGTAGTTCTACTGGCTCTTTGAAACAGATTCATTTTAACTAATCGCTTTTTTATCAGTCTATGGTCTGCTCCCACTGTGACAAGAATGATAAGTACAGTTTATTAGATTCTTTAGAGTACCTTTCAGTATAACTTTAAATACTATAGTAGATTGGTTCCAAAGATGGCCATAACCATATCTCCCAGCTGGCAGGTTTTCTGCAATGAGATTTTGTTACTCCTCTCATCAGGAAGTAGCATCTCTTTTTCCTCCCCTTGAATCTGGTTGGCCGTATGACTTGCTTTAACCAATAGAATGTGGTGGAAGTGATGATGTGTGGCTCCTGAAGCTAGCCTTTTTGACCCATTATAGCTTCCGCTTTCAACACATTTGGGACACTCCTTCTTGGACTGTTGTCTTGATAACTGTCATGCTCTGAGGAGCCCAAACTAACCTTGTGGAAATGCAATGTACAGGGAAGGCAAGGTTCCCTGGCTGAGAAGCCCAGTAGAGCCCATTTCCCAAATGATCTCCTGGCTGGAAGCTGCCACAAGTAACAGCAGGTGAGACCAAGAGAAGCCTCTCATCAACCCACGGGATCAAAAGAATAAATCATTGTTTTAAGTCACGGAACATTGGAATGGTTTGTTATACAACAATGGGTAATTGAAAGGTGTACACTAATATAATGTCTCTTAGAGCAGTTAGAAAAACAAGCATTTATAAAGCTAACCACTTCATTGACTTTGTTGGTTACCTTGTCTAGGTTAATGACTTACGTTTGGTACAGGCTTTTCCTGTGTAACCAGGGGGACAGTCACAGCCTCCAGTTTTTTTGTTGCACTGACCTCCATTTTCACAGGGTCCACAGGAGAACTGGCACTCTGGTCCCCAGAGGCCATCAGGGCAGACTTGCAAAATAAAAAGAGAAAGAAAGGAGCTAAGATGTGTAATAAATCTCCAGTTGGTCCCAGCTTTCCGCTTGACTGAGTTGGAAAAGTGTGTGAGTGTGAGTGTGTGTGTGTGTGTGTGTGTGTGTGTGTGGTGTGCACATGTGTACCACTGAGCTGCAGAGAAAGAAACATGTGAGTAGCCTCCAAGGATTTATAGCACTTCCAAAAATATTCCCTGAAGAAATCAACATGATGTTGTATCTTGTCACTTTGGAAACACAGATACAGAGGTTGGCTTTTTGCTGAAAATATGGTTGTTCAGACAGTAACAATGGAAGCAATTTAGATGTATGTCTTAGGAGGCAGTTGCACAGAACAAAACCTGAAAATGAGATGTAATTTGTAAAGGAAGCTTAGGAGGCGCGGTGCTTGGGAAGCTGTCCCCAAATGGTTGCCTGAATCCTGTTCTCCTAGTCTTTGCTTCTTTTGTAGCCAGAATAATCACTCCAGAGGTTTGTAATTTGTGTATTTTATAAGAGCATTCAATGTAGAGAGTGGAGGAAGAGGAACTGTGTGCTGCTTTGTTGGATGGAAATGGAAAACGATAGCTGATGCTGTAGGGACCACTAAGTGCTCGGTTAGAGATTTCAGCCCCTGTCCCGCCAGTGAAGCCACTGGAATTAGAAACCCGGTGGAAAGGGTTTTTTTCACACAGGAAAACAGTGGAACTTTCCTAAACATAGGACAATTGTGGAAAGTTACCTCAAACCAGATTGGGCTGTGGAGTATCTTCTCGTCCTGGGCAGAATTTCACTGAAGAACAGAATTATTAAATTTTCTGGGATGTTTATATCATTCCTGGCTCTTATCTGTTGATCACTTACTCTGTGCCAAGCACTTTACCTAAGCGAACTCACATTTTCATAAAAAATTACTATATGACATGAGCAACTTCATCTCCATTTTACATCAGAAACTGAGGCTTAGAGAGGTTAAGTGACTTATTCTGGGTCACACAGCTAATAAGGAGCAAAGTTAGGATCTGTACCCGGATCTCCTGACCTCTAACACTGGTACTCTCAGGCACTCCACCAAACTTATGCTAAATACTAGGTACTCTGCACCTTTCAAGTCAATTAACCTGCTCTTAGAGACCCACCAGAGTTCAAAATGTGAAGTTCATCCAATGTGGAACTACTGTAACAAAAATCTGTCCTTATTATGATGACACAAGGGTTGATTAGGCCTCCTTAGATGAACTCAAGTGGACAGAGCCTTGTACACGCAGAGGTCTGCCTGCAGCTGGGGTCCAAAATACCCCAGGCTACAAACTAATCAAAACAAAAACCACCGGCTGTTTTTCTTATCCTCACTCTCTCTTTTGCTATTGCATAGATTAGTGTGGAAACCAGCTCTTCTACTCTTAAAAGTTATTGCTGATGGGCTAAATAAGTCCTGGTGCTAATTGTCGAGAGCAGTGTTCATTAGTGCCATTGAAACAATTTGCGGTCTTTAATTAACTATTCATCTGCAATCTAGATCCAGGTTTAGAGTTAAGATTTTTAAAGATATGTCGGGCTCTAGGAGCACTTGGGCTACTTCACTTCTTTCAAAAAGAGAAATAAAAACAAGCCTGATTTTCATCGCGCACAGCTCTTGGAGAGCTCTTTTTCCCTTGATTCCAGCTGCCAATCATGGCGATCCCATTCACCCACTCCGGTGTGATTCATAATTTCATTTTGTGGTTAGACAAAAATATCAGAATTGAATAAAGTTATCTGATTGAAAAATAATATGTTTTCCAGAGATTATGGTGACCTCTCTATTTTGCTGATTTACATATACTTTCAACTCATTTTCCTTCACAGTGGGAATCTCAAGCATTTTCCAATATAGTACATTCAGCCACCGCTTTAAGAAAATGTTATCAGAATAAATTAAATTTACCCAGGTGTGTGTATATGGGATTGTCTCTTCATTTGTTGACTTTCAGGGCATCACATCTCTAGTGGGGAAATGAATAAGGGGTCCAATCTTAGCCTTAAAAATCGTTTGAAGCAGAAGGAGGTTTAGAGATTGGCATGCGACCCATTCTCATACCATATAAAATACATTTGTGTAATGTCAGCCTTCGGTTTCCCCAAGCTCTTTACCCATTGCTTAGAAAGTCACAATCTGGCTCCCTAAATAGTCCTCTCTCCACGGAATCTAGTAGGACATTGGTGCTCACAGACTCCTGTTCCATAGCCACAGGACAACCTGGAAGACTCTTACTCCCTTTCATTCAGCTCTGATGAGCCCTGCAGACTCTTGAAGATGATAATGCAAACAGCAACATGTAATACACGAGGGCCAAAGACAGCCCTCAAATCCAGGGCCTGTCTCTGTGAGCAGTCCCAACCGTATGACGGCTTCCTTTCAAATCTCTCAAACCTCCTGATTTTACACAAGATTGCCCTTTGGATCACTGCAAAGCCAAAAAAGTTCACTTGTTATTAGTTATGATAATTTTATTTGTTTATATGTTCGGTCTTGCTAGATATTAAAAAGAAAAAAAAACACTGTGATAATTTCCCCTGAATAAAATAGTAAAAAGTGCCTAATTCATAATATACAATAACATGAAAAAATGTATAAAGAACAAAAAGAGTTGCATTTATGTATTCATTTAAGAACAAACTTATTGAGAAACTCCTGTATGTAGGATTATTCTAGGATTTGGGGGGATACTTTGGTGAACAAAGTGAACAGATATCTTTCCCCCATGGAGCTTAGCTTCTATCAGGAAAGACATGTCTATAAATATTTGACATGATAATAATTAGAGTATATGGTATGTTAGAAGATGGTGTGCACTTTGGGGAAAAAGTTCAAGAAGACTTGAAAGTTGAAATTTTAAGTTGTGTAATACTGACAAGTTTCAGTGAAAAGTTGGATTAAGGCTTTTTAAAAGTGTCAAAGACCCACATAGATATCTGGGGAAAAGATGTCCGTGAGTCCACCAAGGAGAGACAGCCATTACTAGCATCTTGGAAAACCGTTCTCCAAATTTTATATCTACCTACACACACACACACACACACACACACACACACATATGTGACATATTATGCTTTACATAAACTTTTATATTTATAGGTTTATAAAAAAATTATGTAACATTTAGAAATTGGAGAAAGGGCCATACTGATAACAATATTTGAGCTTTCCAAAATTTTTCTATGGTTAAAATCTTTGAATTGTATTTGTTTGAATGATCTGTCTTTAGAGATAAAGAAAATGCTTTTGTAACTCTGAAAGCTAACAGTGCCCTTGGTTGATTCGGTCAAATCAAAGAAGTGATGGGCCAGCTTTAGTCTTCTGGGGACAAGATTCTCTGCAATGTGATCTTTCTTCCCTTGCTCAAGCCAGCAAGGGGGTAGGTTACCAGCAGAGACCTAGATGACAAGGTTAAATAACTTTATTGCCCTGTGTCTCAGTTTCCTCACCTGCAAATAGGGGATTAATAAAGCTTATCCATCTCCTGAGGACACTGGTGGATTAAATAATTAATGATCAGATGGTGCTGAACAAAGGCTGAACATTGTTATTAGAGAAGAAAGAAAATTTATCATCAAGTTGTACCTTTCTGGCATCGGTTGCCTTGGTAACCAGATTTGCAGGTGCAACTGCCATTTTTGACGCTGCATTCTAGGGTGTTCTCCTCCACACACTGACATTCGGAAGAGCAGCCAGCCCCATAGGCCCCCTTGGGACAGTCTGAAAGCAGATTGAGGCAAACTCATCAGCTGAAAACCACGCTTTGTGGGGTTTTTTTTGTTTTTTTCCCCCACATTGTTAGCGCACAGGCATGTAGAACTGCCGGGCCTGATTATGGGGAAAACAAGGGGATCATCTTGACTGCCAAAAAACCAACAAACAAAAAAATCAGGAAAACAAATGTCTTTCAAATCAGGCAATTCATTTGCTTTTTGGCAACTTGATGTGAACAGCGAAGACTAAAGTATTTAAAAGGCTTTGGTGCTTCCAGGCGAGAAATCGCTTCTCCATGAGCTCCATTGATGCCTGTAGGTAATAGTGTCTGAGGACTGCGCGAACCCTGCCAGGCCCCATACTCATCCTGCCACAGCATGGAAACACGGACAAGCACTGATGTGAAGGCTCACCATTGTTTTCCTTCCCTTTCATTATATGGCAATTGGAAATAATTTTACATCACAGAGATCGCACAGAACTTTCCTCAGGACAGCAGCATTATCTTGGCCACATCTTTGGCAAATGGAGCTTGCCTTCCCTTCATTATTTTCCTCATGCCTTTGAGTGTCAGGAAGGGTAGTCAGCACAGGAATTCTAATCTGAAAAAGCCCCACCTTTGCATTCAGGGAAACCTACCCTTAGTTTTCTCTTTTGGGAGTTACTTGTGGTCGTCCAATTCCCTTTCCAAAATATACTTCTGACAATTTTTTCTCCCCCTTACCAATGCCCAAGGGACTTATCAAATGGAAGATCCTTCAAATGCCCTCCGGGCTCACAGTAATTGTATTTCTAGGCTTTGCCGAGAAAGCTGCTGTTAGAGAACAAAATAAGCCATTTGACTTTCTGGTGAATAGAAAGTATTAGCGTCTGCTAATATCTGCGATTATTAGCAGAGATCATTTAAAGTGGTGGTTACGACACCCTCATGTAGGGATTCTTGTCCCTGCCAGGGATAGACAGATTATCCCTAAAGCAGAACATAATTGTGAACAGCGCCCCTGTTCACTGTTAATGTTATCCAATTTGGATGAGAAATTTTCCTATCCCTTGTTTACCTTCCCTATGGATCCCAAGTTTTGAGTCCTTTCCCAGGCCCACTAAGCCCCGAGGTGTCTCGGGGACATTATCTTCCTTGATATGAGCCTCCTCTTGTTCACTCAAGTACACTCACTTTCTTGGGTTGACTTCCATGCCCTCACTCTTTCTGGTTCAGCATGTAGATCAGTGGTTCAGAAGAGAACTCAGGCAAACTGGGATGCTTAAATGTGACAATTGGGTATATTAAGGACATATAACTGTGGATATATGCTTAGGAATAAAAATTTAAAAAAAAAAGGAAAAGTGGAAAAAGTAACCTCTTTTGTCAAGCCAGTGTCTACTCAGGGTTTGTTATCCATTAAAATGTGTCCTTCTAAAATTCAAATGTTGAAGCCTCCCCCCGACTCCACCCCCTGGTCCCAATAGCTCAGAATGTGACCTTATTTAGAAATTGTGCTGTTGTCCATGGAATTAGTTAAAATGAGGTCATACTGGAGAAGGATGGGCCTCTAATTGGATATGACTGGTGCCTTTATAAAGAGGGGAAATTTGGACACAAAGACACACAGAGAGAATGCCATGTGAAGACTGGAGTCATGCTGTCACAAGCCCGAACGACCAGAAGCTGGGAGTGAGCCTGGGACTGGTCCTTCCTAGTACCTTCAGAGGGAGCACAGCCTGCTATCACCTTGATTCCAGAATTCTAGCCTCCAGGACTGTGAGGCAATAGATTTCTGTTACTTAAGGCACTTGGTCCGCGACACTTTTTAATGACAGCTCTAGAAAACTAATATAGGCTTGCAAACTCAAGCTCCTCAGAGCCAGGCAAGTAGCATTAAAACATGAAGCCTCAAATCTAAGCAATTAGAGTCATGAAGAACTGTAATGTGTATATTTTATTCTAAAGATGTTCACATTCAAAATGCTGTCATCACCACCACCACCACCTGCTCTTTAAATATTTGACCAGATGAGTTATGATTTAAGTGTTTTTTACAAAACATCTGGTATTGCCTTATAAAATATTCAAAAGTTATTACTAAAAAATAGGGTGTATCTTGTTACCCTAGAGGAACAATAGTAGAAATGATGCTGTCTTTGTTTCTAGGTGAGTTTTCTTTTCTTGGCATGTTCTAAGGGGTATAGGATGTTCTAGAACCCACCATCTGCACCTGCATTGTTCACATTCATCCATGCCTCCTCCCCTTCTCTTCCACATTGCTTACCCAAGCCTAACCTTTCCTCATGACCCAGGTTCAACTTTCCATGATGCCTGCACTGGCTCTGTTTTTGGAGTAATCACAATTTACTCTGTTTTCTAGGGGTATTCCTTTCATAAAACAGACAAGATCTATGGACATTCAACTAAAAATGCAATATAAAACTCTGAAAAGTCTCTGCTATTAAGAAATGGGTTGCTGTATTACAGGGGTTCACTCAGGAAGGATTTTCAGAGGAGGACACATGGAACAGAAGAGGACCAGGGTGGAGATTGTTTCAGGCTCACAGGTGCTTGCAGACAGCTTCACGACAGAATGGTGGGCATCCAGAGATGTCCCACTGGGAGATATCCAAAAAGTTACTGATGGGCTGAATAATTTATTGGGGATTGTGTTTTCTGACATCTTTTGCAAAATGTGATTGATGGTCAAAATGCAAAATGAAGAGCCAGTTTTAGAAGTTTTAGGGAATGATCCTGCTATGTACAAGAATTCCGAAATAAAATAGACTTGTTTTGGGCTTTTGATATTCAAGTCCCATCAAGTGTCAAATCTCCTTTTAAAACCTCTCTCATTAGTTAAGATAAGCACTAACTATAAAAAAAGGCAAAGCATTCAGAAATATTTTTCTTTCATTCATCAAAATCTTGATTCTATAATTTAAGGAGGCTAAAAAAAAGACTAGAACATACATCATCATATATATGATATGGCTATATAAAATATATTATGGCTTTTACTCTCTTCCTTTGTCTAACACATTTTTGGTACTTTTCTGAGTGTCCTTGATCACACAGAAAGCAAATTTAGTGCCTGTGACTTACTCAGATGACAAAACCTTCCATAGCGCCCTGGCTCACACACACAGGCGCCATATACCCCGTGGCAATGGCCATTGTTGGCACAGTTACATTTCCTTTTGCAGTTCTTTCCAAAGAATCCTTTTGGGCATCCTAGAGGGCGGAAGAACAAACAAAGCAAATATTAACCCACATGCAAAACTTCCTAGAGCTGTTGTTATATGAAATAAGGATCTTGCAAAAGGTAAGGTATTTCCAATCTGATTGGACTGAGGCAAGGGAAATCTTCTAAAAACCACAAATATGATTTTATAACCTCTCTACAATGCCATTGCTGTCAGGTTAAACCTCCAAACTTCCCAAGACCTATGAGCTTCTGCACTGGTGGACCTCATGTGGTACTGATATCTCCCTGACTGACTTTTGTTACTTTTGCTCCGCCAGGTGACCTTCTCCTTGTTCCTGTAATGCACTTTCCTCTTACCCATTTCGGAGCCTGGCAACATGCGGCCTCCTCAGTCTGGAATGCACTTCCCTCACATGTCCCCTGTCTTATGTCTTCTCATTTTGCAAGCTTCTGCTTAAGTGTTACTTTTCTAAAAATTGCTCTGGCTCTCACAGCCTGTATTTTCCTCATGGTCTGACCACCAATCACACATTAATATTTAATTTGTAATACCTACTAACATTTGTAACCTATGCCTGCTTTGAACAAGACTGAAAGTTCCACATGAAAGGGTCATTTTTAGCTATTTAATTTTTTTTGTTACCATATCATAATGCCTGACAGTACCATGCAAACACTTAATATGCATATTTTGAATAAATGAATAAATATTATCCAGGGGAATACATAACTAGGATGCCAGCAGGAGCCTTCTTGCACCTCTCAGAGAATGAAGTAAACTTGGTTTCTCTCTCTGCAGTTCCGTGAAATGTAAGAATCTAATAAACGCCCCATGATTTTTGGCAATGCTTGAAGACTTATACCTCCATTGACTCTCTGCCTTCAGTTCTGGGGCCTGTATAAGTGATTTTATTTTGTGCTTTATCAACCCCTTCACTGGATTCCATGAAAATCCCCCACACAGCATTCACTGGTATTTTGTGAGTTTTTCATCCATCATTTCTCTTCTCTTTTCCTCTCTCCCGCCTCTCCTTTTTTTCTCTGATTTTCATCTCACTTCCTTTCTGGTTTGCCCTAGGAGCAACATTTTTTTTTATTCTTCATTTTATTAGAGCAAATAAATTTCCTCCAGCTCTATATCCAAACCTGCACATACAAATTCAACTTTTTGCTCAGCAGAAGAAAAAGGCTTTTTCTATATCAGGATTCACCCTGATCACAGTTGGAGATTTAAGTATCACTTATTTTGTTCTATAACACACATCATCAGTTAAACAACTGTACTCTGTATATATACAGAAACAGCCTTTTACTTCATCAGAAAAAGGCTACCTTGAAAAATACAGAAGCAACTTTCTCTTAGTTTATTTCTCATTAGAGACTTCTAGACCTTAAAGAGTTGTTTCTGACCAGCACCAGACATTCCTACCATGTTCACAGGTTTTTCCATGCACCCCTGGGGGGCACTGGCAGTGCCCAGTCAGAGGATCACAGGTGCCTCCGTTCCGACAATCACAGATGCTTCCACACTCTTTCCCACTGGTCTCTGGAGAACAAGCTATGAAGAAAATGGAGAAGTTGAGCATGCAATGTAACATACTCATTGTGATACAAATGGAGGAAAAAAAAATCTTGTCTTCCTATTAGAATGGATATGGAGTAACTAAAATCTCTGTAATTTGTAGACCCAGGAAGTGCCTCGGCATGCTCCTAGTTTGGATGGCATAATCATTCCTGGGGGATTACTGATACAGCTAGTTAAAATGACGGCTGAGGAACTGCTAAGAAGGTTTTCATGAAAAATTGATCTTGCTCCACAAACTCTAACCCTCTCATTTTTAAAGTTTCGATATCTTTGCTGCATAACTCTAACCAACCTTAATGAGAAACAAACTGCATCTTTTATTTGGAAAAATATAAGAAAATGTAGGGGGGAAATGGCACATATTTTTAACCAGGAATGAATGCAACTAAAGCTGTCTTGAGGGTCCCAAGGTATTTTTGCATTGTCAAAGAATGATGAAGTCAAGCAAGCAACTGTTTTGTTGGTTTTGGGGGAATGCATAGTATTCCAATAATAAAAATAAGTTGGGAAAATGTCTGTCTTAATTTTAACTTGGGTAAATACAGTTGTTGAGAAAATTTCAGTAAGCATTTTGACATTTTATCAATAGGCTAAATATTATAAAACTACATTTATATAACTGCCTTTACCCACCCATCCACACCATTCTAGATACTTATATGGAAAATTGGCTTCTTATTCACTTTTTTCTTTGCTTTTAAGCCCTAGGCTACTATAAAAAGGAAAGGGAAAGGAAAGAGGAAAACAAAAGGAATAAGAGAGAAACAAACTGACAACAAATATTGATTTATGCCTACATTCTTTGAATTCTTACAGCAACTATAGAGAGGTTAATTTTTAAAAATATATTTGGAAACTAAAGCCAAGGAGGTTTAACTAGCTTGCAGAGTGTCTGGATTATATCAAGTCATCAAACCAACGCTACTACCTGGCACTCCCTCAACAAAGAAGAATATAATATCACATAGTACAAGGATTTGCTAAATACTTCATTAGCATCAAACAGCACAATTACCCTGGGGAAGCAAATCTGAAAACAAATATGCCCCAAAGCATAGCTGGATGATTTGGAAGGAGTCATGAATCCTCTGCTTCTTACATAACCCATTCATTTGTCATATGAAAGTACTCTTATGCTCCCTTTCTATTGGGTAGAGTCTCACAATAAGAAATGACATAGACAATATGAAATCTCTTCAAAGTAAATGGAATTCTGAAACGTGCTATTAAAATTAATATGTGATGATTTAAAAATTGTTTCATTATAATTACTTGGAAAAATTCCTAAGACACCAAAGCAGATATCTTCATCATAGACCAATAAACATATTGGGCTAGAAGATGTACTCAGTGAGAAAACTTACTTTCCAGATCTCTGCAGAATGTTCTTCTTTTTTTTAATTTCCCTTGCTGCATTTGAGGAGCTGGTACTTTTCAAAATAAGGGTAATGAATGATTGGTCACTTTCATTTATTGCAGTTTATAGGAATTTTTAAGAAAATGTTCTCCCTCCGTCTTTTAGTTAAAGAATTAGTGAGCATTTTTTTTTCCATTTGCATTGCTCTGTTTTCATTTTGGTAAAAAGAAAAAAAAAGAAAGACACGGAGGAAATGTAAAAAAGATACAATTTTCTGCTTTCAGGAATAGACTCTCCTGTATAGGGCCATGTGAACACTTAAAACATCCTCAAGGTTTTCTAAAACCAAAAAAGGGGTCATCATATCTTTATTTATCAGCAAGCTGATTTTTTTTTAAAGATTTTTATTGGGGAATTGGGGGGATGGGAACAGTGCTGGGGAATTGGGGGAAGGGGAACAGACAAGTTGCAGTGCCACTGGCCCTCATATGTGGGATCCGAACCGGGGCCCTCTGGCGTCCCAAGCCAGTTCTTAACCATCGCGCCACTCGGCCGGCCCCAGCAAGCTGATTTTCAATGTTTCCAGATTAATTTTGTATCACACATGTTTTATTCTAATGTATTTGAGATAGATTTTTAGTTTCATTTCTCATGCTGCCATCTTAGAAATGAAGGGTTTGGAAATTGCATATTTACCAACAAAACTTACAATATAAGGTAAATATTTGCTTCCTAATAGCTGTGCAATAACATTTATTGATCCCAGTTTTATACAGTTGCAGTTTAATGTCAAGTTGTAGATCAATATAGCTGGGTGCTTCAATACCACATTGTCTTCATTTGCTCATTCATGTACTAGATGCCTCCAGTTTGGAGAAACATGAATAGGACCTGGCCATGAGCTTTCAGCTGAGTAAGGCAGATAGAACAGAAGCGTAGCTGACAATATCCCATGTGGAAAGAGAGAGAGTGACTTTAAATTCACTGAAGTATAAATAGCTGTGGTTAGATTGGGGCCATCTAAAAATGTTCACACAATAAGTGACAATGGACAAAGGTGGCTGTTTAGCAAAAGACACAAAGACAAAAAAGGCAAGCAATAAGTAGTGAGTGGTTTACTTTACTGGAAATAACAATCTGGACCAAGGATTGTAATGAGGATAAAAAGTGAAAGGGGTTTATGAGGGCCTGATCTTAGGGGGTCACCAGGGAATAAATCAGAAGTATACATTTTATGGATCAGGAATGGGGCTCTCAAAGTTTTTGGAGCAGCAGAGAAACATGATCAGAGGGGTTTTTGAGGATGATCCTCAACACCCTGCCTAGTAACCTTGGTTAAACCATTTCACTCACTATGTCATGACCCAAGATTTGCATTTATCTCCTAATAGAAACAATATTTGTGCTCTTTCTTCCTATATGCAAGAGGTTTAAAAGAAAATCTGCTCATATCATCCTCCAAGCTAATCACAAAGATCAAGAAAACTTTTGTTAAAATTTTTGTAATGCAAATTTCAAAAGAGAAAGAGAAAACAAAGATAGTCAATATACTATTTTGCTTTTATTACTTGGCACTTTTAGTACCTGCAAGCATACTTCCACTTAAAACATAAGGGGAAATTTTATTAAAGGGATCACTTTTTAAATCTTTGATATTTTTTCATGAGGGACTTATAAAAACTTAAAAATATCATCGGTGTATAAAGATATTTTGAAAAGTAAAAGAAAACATAAACAAAAAGAAGCAGGAGTCAAGCAATCCCATTAACTGCACTTTGTAGCACAAATTCTTTCCTCTTTTTTTTTTTTATTGGGAAAGCTTGTCAGGGCCTAATGATTTATTTAAATGGAGGGATTTTTATAGGTCTAGAATATTAGGATCCTTTATTAACTTTTATGTTCCATGGATGAACAAGAAACATCATCTCAAGTTTCCCAGGGAACACAAAATCTCTCCTTTTAATCACATGTTCAGTTTAAAACCTCAGCGCTTCTTAGGCATTGTTTATGCCCACCGATAAATTGGTTTCTCACTCATATCAATTGCTTACGTTGTTAAAACATTTTAGGAAGAACACGCATAAAGAACTCATCGCTAGTAGTTTAGATGTAGTAAGGAAGCACTTACCACCCTCTTACCAATTCTTCAGGGTATCACTTACTTTCATTACAAAGAATGCCACCCCAGCCAACTGGGCAGGAGCACCCACTCTTTCCTTCCTGGCATCTGCCTCCATTCATGCAGTCTTCACAGCTCAAGCTGCAATCATGTCCAAACGTGTGATCTAAACAGACTGGAATATGATACCATCTTAGCTTATACTCTCTACATCACTGAAAATAGAGATGAAACAATTTCACACACACACACACACACACACACACACACACACACACACACACACACACACACCCTTGAACTTATTTCCTAGAGTCCCAGAAAAAAACGAAAACAAGAAGATATCTTTTTAATCGTTTCCAATGATAATATTGAAATATAGAAACCTAAAGAATATTTAGAATATTTAAGAAAGTAAAATAATCAATGTTCCTACCATTTGTTTTTCCTCACAGGCTTTTTAATGCAAAAGTTGTTTATGCAAGTAAACCTGTTTGTTGAGATTTAACATGCATTCACAGAAGTGCACAAATTTCAAGTGTACACTTTATATTTTTTTCCACAATGTAAATAACCCCATTAAATGCCACCCAGATTAAGATATAGAATATTGCCAGCACCCTAAAAACTCAAAGGTGACTTGATGATTCTTGGTCATTAGCCTTAAATATTAAGCACTATCCTGACTTCCATCACCATAGATTATTTTTCCTTATTTTTGAACTTTATACAAACAAAATTGTATTTTCTCATGATATCAAGCTTCTTTCATTCAATACAATGTTTGTGAGACTCACCCACATTATATGTACACACGTTTATATTCTATGGCTATATAGAATTCTATTATTAAAGGTATTGTAATGTGTTTTTCCATTGTATTCTTTAGGAAAATTACCTTAATATGAAGAAGTATGGAGAAACTTGATTTGAGTTGTTTTAGGGATTGTTTCATTTCAACTTTTACCCCCGTTCTAAAGGGGATTTTCAGATGTCTCAATCAAAAAAGTCTGTTATGTTGAGCAAGCCCTCTCTTCCTGGGCAGATCGTGAACTGCAACTTCTACCTCCCGGTCACCATTATACTGCTGATAACTGTGCTTAGCCCCTCACCCTCTTAACAGCTGTTGTTGAGGTTTCCTGGCTTCTCTGCTTGCAGAGCCCATGCATTAGCAAACGGCTCAAGGAGAAAAGCAGCTAGATTGTCCATTTCACTTGTCTGAGTTTCTCTTCTCTCTAGATCTTGGCCACTCACATTCTGTCTGGCTGCCTTAGTAGCACTGTACTGTTTTCATTCAGCCAAAGTATCAGGAGTTGAATTAATAAACATTAAGCATTTCTACTTTTAGGCAGATGTATTAATTGATCTTATTATTATGATTCACCATAGCATAAAAATGTTCCTGCCATTTTCCTGAATGCATTCTGAGCAATCATCAAGCTTTGACACTGTTAAAATACAACAAATAGAGGGAAAAGGAAAAGAGCATCTCTGTTTTACAAAGAAAAAAAATAAAAAAGAAGCAGCAGACTGGCTGCAAACTGTTACTTTTGAAAGAGGTTATGTTAATTTATTTTGATCAGAAGTGATTTGATGCTTGAGTTCTGTTGCATGGATATATGCGTAGAAAACAACCTGCTCATTTTTAAAGATATTTTCTTGGTCCACTTGAGCATATTAAAAAATTGGTTCTTGGCATTTTAAAATATAGGAGTGATCCAGATTTGAAGCTATTCAAGGAAAATTTTAACTATATAAAAGTGACTTCTGTGGAGTTTTAATAGTTAGAACGAAAAGGTCACGATCCTTCTCCCCATTCTGTTAATTTAAAGATACTTTTCAGCTCCATTTCACTGTATCACACTTCAACAGCCCCTCCATCACCCTGTACCCCCACTTGTATGCATACCTACCTAGCAACCCTTTATTCTGCAAAGGGAAGAAATATTAAAAAAAAAGATGGATTTGATAGGAAGCTCTGAAGAAGTGTTTTTGGCTCTACTTTTCTTGCTAACATAATGTTTAAACATTTGATGGCATTAAATACAGATCATGAAATTGTCTATAGAGGAATTTATGTGAATTCTCCAAAAATAAAGAAAAGAAGTGACTACAATGAGATACACTCTTCCTCACCAACTTTCTGAAAAGCAGTCAGTTCTCCTCGAATGTCTTTTTTCTCTTCCTCATCTTCTTCATCTTGATAGTCGAAAGGCAGAGACATAGTGACATAATGAAGCAGTTGAGATGGGCTTCTGAATAGAAGGTTGGCAGACCTCACAACTTCTAATTCCTCTTCTTCCTCCTCTAGCTCATCATCATCTAAAGCTAAGACCATACAGGGAAATGTCTGGATTCAACATGCTGGTTAAAAGAAGTAACAACGGAGCAAGGGTTGATGAGAGAAATGAGAGAGTTTGAACCAGACAGCCAAGGTAGGGGCCACTGAAATGTAGAGCTCTTTGAGGCCATTTCAAAAAGTCTATTGTAGGTGAGAAGCAGCACGCAGAAAGCTGAAACGACAGCAGAGGGAACAAAAGGAAAAGAAAGAGCTCAGTTTGTGAAGAGAGAAAAGGGAGAACAGGATGAGTTAAGGGATGTGTGGTCTCTGAAGCTCCTAAAGAACAAAATGAGGGTGGAGGTAGTTTAGAAGACATAACGTTACAATTCTTCACAGTGACTTACAGATGCAAGTTTTCCCATCACTTCCAATTCTGTAGCCTTCTTCACAAGTACAGTTGTATGTCCCCAGAGAGTTGATGCATAGTTGGTCACAGACTATGCTGATATCCAGACACTCATCTACATCTAGGAAAATTTAAACAATGCCTGCTGTTAGGTACTGAGAGATAAAATAGACATCACCAACATATGGGCATATCTGTGTTCCACTTAACACCTTTATTAATCAATAACAATATATTATCACATGGAAAGTATAGTAAGCAAATTCTTTCTCAGGTATATCCTGCCAATTATTTTTCTTTCATTCATTGCCAAGTTTACTGTAGTTCATCTACATAGACAAGACCTTTCTGAGACCTTGTTTATAAGGTTTTGATGAAGAATTTAATGTAAGTTTATTGGTCTCAGGCTGGACACCATTTTAGATCACGTTCATTCATTCTTGAAGTATTTAATATTTGTGATGAAGCAGTTATTCCATGCAGAGTTGTGTACAAGGCTTGTGGAGAATTTTATAGATGGAAGAACCCTAGGCCTTGATCTCCTTTGACTTACTAGAGAATGTCCGTGTCTGAGCCCAGACTCTGGTCCATGTGTTCACAATATTAAAAGTTCATTTATGAAGCTGAGTATCTCTTCTAAGCTTTGCTTCAGCATGTGGATACCTTTTCCACTTGGCTGTGGAAGTACCCGAGTACATATATTCATGCCATACAATCATCTCTTGGCTTACTCTGTTTAAGGGCAGATGGTTGATGAAATTCAATTTTTTTTTTGGCCCTGTTAATTGGATGGAATGTGGTAAATGGTAATATACTCTACTGCATTTAGAATATATAGATATCATAGTTGTGTGCTCTCTGCTGTTATCTACACTGCAAGGCTAAGGAGCTTGGCATGTACATAAAGAAACACACTGCCATCCTTGACATAATTCAGGAATTTGTTTCTTTAAGCAAAGAAACTACTTTTTTTCCATGGTATCAAATTTATATAATTTGACTTATTTAAAAAAATAACAATCGTCATATTTGCTTTGATTTCAAGAAAAATGTGGCTCAAAATAATGGTGATAATGATCATGAAATTAAAATTTAAAGAGTACGTATTTTAAAAATAAACTTTAAAATATAAATGATAGCAATGATTTGAATGAGCTGTTCTTAATGTAATGGTAAAAAAAAAAAAGGAAATTAACTCTACTCACTAAATTCAAACTCTTCTTGATATTTAGAACAGAACCTAGAAATCATCTGAAAGGCAAGTGAACCAATTTTAACAAGTAAGTTAGGAAATTGTAAAATGACTTCTTAAAACTTGCATGAACTAGATTAACATCCGATATATAAAGGATTCTGATATAGATTTGGACTGTGGTAAACTGACAACCCTTTTGCTACTGTTCTCTAATTAAACTGATTTTCAGCCTCCAACTTTCTAATTCTAGTCAAGCTTGCCATGAGTGGTTCCTATGGCAGAGTGCTGTGGCATAGAGAAGCTCTCATATGTCTGCATTAGATAAAAAGGATTATGGGCCAATGAGTGTTATAAAAATAATAGCTACTTCTAGTTCAGTGACTTCTCCATGTCAACCACTGTATGAGGCACTTCACATTTATTACTTGCCTTAATTTACCCACTAATCCTATTATTGTCTTCCATTTACTGACGAGGCTATGAGGCTCAGAGCAGTTAGAGTCACCCAAGTTCACACAATAGTGAATGACACAATCACACAGAAATCCAAGTCTCTTTAGTGTCAAGGCCTTCCTTTTCCCACCCGAACCCCTTTCCTCAGATGTTCCTCCTTCACCAATTGCCCCAACACATCAGTGATTTTATGTTAGATTTCAGGAACTTACCATCACATCCACAGCCATCAGGACTGATCTGAAAGCCTTCCTGACAGCTGCATTCATAGCCTCCAAAATAGTTGGTGCAGAACTGGGCACAGCAGGCTTCTCCACTCTCACATTCATCAAGGTCTGAAGGGGCAAAGGACACTTCTGTTGTTTAAGAGACAGAAATGGAACTGGCCTATGGAAGGGCTGACAAGCCTCACTTCTAAATTAAAATTGTTTTACTAATAACTTCCTTTTCTCAGGCTACATAGTACAGACATCAAAGAAACTATAAGACACAAAGAAGGAGGCCCACATTTGGGTTTATGTTTCTTGCATGCTTCTCCTCTGCCTGTTATTTATTTTAAAAGTATGTAAAAAAAATCTCCAAATTCATTCATCAGCACAGGAAAAGAGACCTCTTCTATTTTTCCAGTTTAAATAGCCATTTGACTAAGTAAACCGAGAACTTGAACAACAACAACAAAAAGGCAAAAAATAGCTTGAGAAGAAGAGCCCCCAAAATTCCACTTGGCGAACATCTGATAGCTGCAAAGAGGAGGCAGTCTTCGACTCGATGATGTGTTTGTTCTTTTAGAACTTCAGATGAAAGAGCATTTCCAAGCTAAAGGAAGTCACACAACTGGGAAGAGAAGTGGTAAATGCAATTCTGAGAGCGGGCAGACAATCATTTTAAATATTATGTTTTAAATTACAGAATCTTTCTGAGCACTTGCTTGACCTTTCCAAAGATGGGTGGGTTCAGGGTTTTTATTACCATCGGTGACACCATCACCCTGTCATGTCCTATCAGATAAATAGCTTTCTAAATGATGATCTTTAAATCTCCTCCAGCACTATTCTAGAATTCTAGAATCCTGAATGTTTCTTCCTAAGACATAATTGCCCTGGGGAAAACAAAAATGCACAAGAAAATGTCAAATTGAAACTCTTTAGCCAAAGAATAATCTATTTGGCTTGAGATTCAAGGTGATCATTTCTAATGTTATTGGTTAAGAAGTACCAACAGACTCTTTGCCCACTGTTTCCCTTAGGCTGGACACTTGGCAATTATGTGGTCAGGGTTTTGGGGTACAGGCCCTTGGTTCAATTCAACCCCCTTTGTTGAGTTGTTAAGTTGGGTGGCCTGTCAATGCTAAGGTTACAAAATCCCATTGCTTCATAACTACATGAGCAGCCACAGATATTGAAAGTGTCTCAACCTTGGAAAGCGTAACATTGTAAGGAATTGCAGATAAAAGAAAGGATGCAAAGAAAATGCAATCAATCAACTAAGGTGAAGGGTCACCATAAAATATCTAAATGAAGGTCATTTGGACACAAAACATTCTTTCTCCTGCCAAATGTCACAAACAGTGTTACTCATGAAATTCAAGGTGATATTTTTTTCCACTCTTATATTAAACCATTCTTTGTCCTTTGGATTAAATAGTATGAATATAGAGGACAAAAATACATTCAAAATTGTTTGCTTCATCTAAGACTATCCTGTGTGGTGTTGTTGTTGCTGTTGTTGTTGCATTTTAAGTCTTCTCAAATACCACCAGAGCCTCCAAACATAAACGTCTCAAGATTCCCTGTTCTCAGCTATAAGGAGCCCAGCAGCATCACAACTGGAAAATGAGTTCCTCAGTATATCATTTTATGATCCATTTTGGATTCTTCTTCTATTATCATTCTTCTGGATTTCTAACTTGTCTCATGTACACTATCCACAGCCGGGAAGTCATCTGAAATCCCATCGTTCTTACATCACAAGCCTTTCTTAAAATGCACTGGCCCTTCCATCTTTACATCACCTGTTTCCTGAATTTCTTAATTTCTTTCCAGATCTTATTTGGTGAGATCTTTACTTGCTTATAACAATATTTTTGAACAACAACAAAAAGGCAAAAAACAGCGAGAAGAATTGCAGAGAAATTTACCTATTCATGAAAATTTATCTCTAATCAAAAATAGTAATCAATTGCAGCCAGGCAAAACAATTAAATAGTTCAGTTCTGACTTCAGAAAAGCATCAAAAGTAAACCTTGAAAAATAATTGATCTTCTGTACCCCCCTACATAGTCACTGAATTAAACTGCAAAGTTTAGGGGAAAAAAAAATTCTAATACTACCCAATGTTAAATGTAGCAAACTTATTGCTGGCCAGACACTTGCATTTTGTATAACTGTTTCAAATTGTGATAACACATCTCTAGGTTTTAGTCCTAATACATTTTTTGCATTTGGGAAAGACTGACCATTTGCCAAATGGATGACTTATTTTCACATTTATTTGTATATTCTCATATATAAAAAAGTAGATCCTAAAATGAGTTAAAAAGAAAACTCTTGGGCTGGCCGAGTGGCTCAGTTGGTCAAGAGCTTGCTCAAGAGTGCAAGCTCTGAGCAACAGCAGTTCGATTCCCGGCCCAAGCTGAGCTCTGCTGAGCTGCCAACAGGTGGCAGGATGGCTCAGCTAAAATAAATAAATAAATAAATAAATAAATAAATAAATAAATAAATAAAGCAAAAAGAAAACTCTTTAATTTCCATGGCCTTAATCTGTTCTCAGGCAAATAAGCAAAGTATGTATATGTACATTCCAAATAAATCATTGCCTTACTCTAGTGAATATGTGGTCTTTAGGAATGAATGTTATTTATTGTTGGAAAATGAAATAAACTTGAGCCATAAACAACATAACATTGTCACGTTGACTGCTGAAAGCTCATAAATATGCAATTTCTTACATTTGACCCTGGCAGATGCTATTTTATTTTCTAGCTATAAATAAAAACTTTACAGAATTGTACTTTTTAAAGAATAAGGTACCAAATTGTATGTTGCAAACAAAAGGTTTAGTGCAATTCCAGTTTCCCTTATCAAATAGTCAAAAGGGGAAGAAAGACCAGTAGGAAGGAAGGGAGGGAGGGAGGAAGAAGAAGAGAGGAATACTTTATTTTTTCCATAAATACAAATGTTAGCAAGTTAGAAAAATATAAACATATTTTTCATTACATAAAATGAAGCCAGGAAAGCAACTGGGTTCACTAAGTTAACCACTGTAGACTCAGAAAAATGCAGGAGGCAAAGTTGGATCAAGAAATACAAGTAATGACATTGTTTTGGTTAAATAGCTTATGAAACAAGAATACTTCAAATCCCATGAAGTTCACTCTATTACATCATAGGCCAAATTAACAAATCCCAAATAGTTAGACCTTTGAAATTCACCTCCTCTTTTATGATACTCCAATTTGTCTCTAGCCATACTGATTAGCATAAAATGGTCAAAGATTGCTTTTAGTATTCATATTATAATTTTTAAGAGGTGATATAAAGTGTGACAAAATAAAACAAGCAACTATGGTGCATTTCTCAGAGGAGAGCACATTGCTTTAGGGGTTTGTAGGTCACTTCAGGTCCAGAGGACATAATAATATAGTTTGATGCTCCTTATCCCTATTTTTAGTAGGTATTCCTTTTTCTCAGCAGCTCTAGATTAAACATTTTATTATGACACAAGGCTGGGGCAGAATTTATTTTCCTCATTGTCCCAAATGGCATAAGTTCTAATAGTATGCTAGAAAAGTTATCTATTAAAAATGGGTTTGAGCTGGGATTTCTGAAGAAGATCTTCAGAATTTTCCTTTGGAAAGTATCTTCCTGCTATACCAGAGCTGAGCATGCATCCAAATCATCACCCAGTTGAAAACCAATGAAAGCGATTTAGTTTCTGCTGGAGGTAGAGAGAAGTAGGGTGCATGGTAGCATTTCTTATTTGAACTACAAATCATACTAAATGGTTAGATAAGCCTTGGGATATTTTCCTGAAATAAACTATTAAGTCCATATATTTTGTTAAAATGTTTTAAATCTCCTTTAATTTCAAAGTAAATATCTAAACATAATATTGTCTTCTGCCAAGTAGAATTTCTTTTACATTATCCAGTAGCCAGAGACACTGTTCAACGTAATTCTCCTGGCAGTATGAGAGATGTGGCTCGCATTGCAGCAGTAAGTATTAGAGAAGAATGGGCTATGAATCCCAGGCAACTCTGCAGGCAGATGGCATTTACTATACATTACCTATGCATGTTTTCTCATCTGCATCAAGCTGGTGTCCATGGTTACAGGAACAACGGGGCCCACCAAGTGCATGTTCACAGTGATGGGAACAACCACCATTGTTCTTCTCACAGCTATTGACAATTTCCAGTTCAATCCCTTTCCAAACAAGCAGAAGGTGGTTATTAGCATAACAACAGAGAAACCTGAATATATGTCAACAATGGATACACTCTGTTGGGAGAATGGCAAACTTTATTGGAAATTTATCAACACTCTACACATATAAAAGTTGAAGTCTGAGGGTTAGCCAGCATTGTAAATGTCTATGCAGTATCAACATACTAATAAACCTATAAATAATGTTAAGTTGGTGAAGTGATGCAGAATTAGTTCACCAGTGGTTATTAAACACTTAATCTTAAAGGGCACTTACCTCTGGGAATTCTCAGTATTTTCAGGATATAAAAAATTACATGTATTGAATCAATAATCAGGAAGCAAATAGAATGTTTGCCAACTGACACTTCTGTTCTCAAGCTAATGGTATGTTATTATCTATCCTTTTCAGAAGATAGGAGTACATGAAAATACTGTTAAAAATAGACTTGGAACAAAAGTATGAGCACAAGACCAATGAATTAGTTGATCATATTTAATGAGTACCATCCTAATGTGCTAATCAGCTTTGAGGTATATGAGAGTCACTTATTATATAAACATAGTATTACTCTAAACACCAATTTGCTGATTCCGGTACATGCTAATTAGGGGCATTTTGGGTAACACCAGCCTCAGCCATGGATGCCAATCGCACTGAGTATGCAGGCATTATAATCACTCATTTTCTAAGTGAGAGAACGAGAAATTTAAAAATGCTTGATTAGGTTACTCTGCTATTTTTACCATTGCCTACTGTTGTTATTAGTTTGTGTTGCTTGGGTACACCTCTTATTCATGAAAGTGTACACTGGTTCATTTCCTTCCACTCTTAACTCCCAAGTCCTCTAAAAGTAGAAAGATAAGAAAGGACAAGGGTACTTGGGATTGTGGTACTCCTTGAAAGCCAATGTCAGCATTGAGACTGCCTAGGTCTCTGCTACAGTTCCTGTACAGTGAGAGTACGGAACGCATCCTCTCCCATCCCCGGCACCCAGTCCACGGTAGGCAGCAGCCTTACATGTCCCAGAGTACCCAGGGCACACCCCTGTCATCGTACTCGTCCTCTGTGCCATCATTGCCTGGATTACTCAGCTGATAACAGATTCTCAAAAAATAGGTTTGGAATGATGCAATAAACGAAAGAAGGAGTATGCTAATCAATTTATTGTTGAAAATAAGAACCCCTTTGGGTCTGGAAACAGCTAGCTTAGGACTGAGAAAATAAGAAAGCTAAGGGAAAGAATAAAATAACGAAAGGAACTGATATTTTTTATAATATGCTAACATATATACTCTGTAGGGAGATCTCTTTCAAATTTTGGCTTCTATTCTTGTTATTTTTCTGTGATCAGTGAGGCTCTAAGACTTCTGGTGGTAATTTACTTTAAATATAAATGATAGTATTATAACCTCACTAAAAAAGATATGGACTTAAACAAGGGAGTACTAAGATCTATAACTGTCTACTAGAAGTAAGCTAAGATTTTGCATCCTTGATACAGATAACAATGTTTAATAATAGTACTTTAAAAAATTATAGTTTAAAAAACTTTTAAAAATAGCCCTTATGGTTTCTCATAGGTAGAAAATAATTATTTGCTTGATATATTAAATATACATTAAATGCTTATGGAATTTAAGTTCAACTATATATTGCTTGGTAATTTGGGGGAAGTCTTATTTAACCATGCTGGTTCTAGAATTTTCCAATTTCTAATCACAAGACAGTGATAGTTCATTCATATCACACTGTGGGGATTCAATATTTACTATGCAGTGCTTTAAGAGCCTTTGAGAAGAAATTACATAAATATATTGTTGCTCTAGGAAAGAGTTAAAACAATATACTTCTAAAATAGACTTGTTTGGGGCCAGCCAAGTAGCACGTTGGTTAGGAGTTGGCTTGGGATGCCAGCTCTGAGCAGCAGGGCCCTAGTTCGGATCCCACATGAGAGCCAGTGACACTGCGCCCTCTACAGCTAAGATGGTGAACAACAGCTTGTCCTGGAGCTGGGCTGCTGTGAGTCGCTGGTGACTGTGTACGCTGCAGTGGGGCTGGCCGGCAGTGGGCGTGTGCTTTTGTGAGCTGCTGTGAGCAGCCATCCAATGGCCGGTGAGCAACTGCCTCTCTGGGAAGAGGGCAATGATAATAATACCAACATAGGCCAATGAAGCGACGTCCTCCCCAACTAGACTGAAGAACAAAAGGACAGCAACTTCTCTGTTCCCCTTCCCCGATTCCCCAGTGCTGTTCCCCTCCCCCAATTCCCCAATAAAATCTTAAAATAAAACAAAATAAAATAGACTTGTTTTATGAAGGATACATAATTCATTGTTAAACATTACCATGCTTTGAAAACATTTACTCCACCTACAGGTTTTGAAGCAACTCAAAATACCAGTTCTCATCAAGAAAGTTTTGTATGTCAGTTAGTAAATATTGAGGTCTGGTGAGAGCTGCACAAAGAACTTAGCCAAATATTCACATAAGGGAAATAAATGTAAATGTGCACTTCTACCAAATGTATTCAACTCTGGGGCAAATTGCTTTCCCAAGTAAATTCTACAGAAAGCCTGTGCCTTATAACTCATTAGCAACATGATAACTGAGAATGCACTCGTCAGATTTCAAGATTTTATTTCAGGCATTTGTAAATTGCTCCTTCACCCTGGCCACATTAAAAAGCCAAAATATTAATAAGAAGGTAAAACCCCTCCACATTTCTTTCTGCCTGAAATGACTCCTCGGGGCATTAAGAGAAAGACTTGCTTCAGAAGATGTTGTATCCTAATTAGTAGTTAATTATTCTCTCCCATCTTATTTAGTTTGCTATTTAAAAGACAGATATCACCATAGCAAAACTGCACTGTCTTTAAGCAGTAGAAATATACCAACAGATGTTAAGATTTCATCGGCAACTCAGGTATTAAAAAACAGACTTTTAAGCAGTGGAAAAGAATGAAGAATTTGGTGACTCTAAGAATGTCTCTTCCTGAGAGAGTTTAGTTAAGAACACAACATTATTTATTTTGTTTATGACTATCTTTATTCTTCTTCCTTACTTAAAACTGAGAGACATATAATGTAAAAAAATACATGATGACATTGAAAAGACAGTGTATTTGGCACCTAAAATCCCAGTTTTGTCACTTACTAATTTTTATCATTGAGTTTTGGGCTTCAACACTAAGTTGTGGAGAACTAGGAAGGGCATTTTTGGAACTGAGTCTGCAAACCAGCAGTTTTGTTTTGGGCCTGTCACATTTGCAATGCCTATTGGTTAAGATGGTGATTACATACTTCGATATATTCACATATGGTTAAAGGCAAAAGAGAAGTAAAAATAAAAATCCGACATTGAGAGAGGGGCCAAAGATGGAGAGGAAAACCAGGAAAGGGTGAAAATATGAAAGAGAAGAAAGTGTTTCAAGAAGAATGGGGGTTAGTCAACTGTATTGAAAGCTACTGAGAGAGCAAACAGGATAAAACCAGAGAAGTTAATGTGCAGTCTGTTAATATGGAGGTCATGGGGGACATGGAGGGATAGAAGTGATAATCTAATTAGTCTGGTATAATGAGGGAATAAACGATGAGAAGGAGGAAATCTTAACAAAGTTATAAAAATGTTTCTGTGAAGGTGATTAGATTATAGAAGCTCTAGTGGGATGTGGGCTTATTGGCGGGTACCTCCGAGAGGACACTGCACCATGTTGATAGGTTGATAAGAACATTCACCTATCCATTCGATAATTGTAATAGCAAAGATTTTGAGATAATAATAGAGAATGGAATCCAAAGTACAATGGACAAGACAGCCTTTGATAGCAGCAACACCACTTCCTTTAAATTAATGAGGTGAAGATTTCAGATCAATTGCTAGCTTGGATGGTAGTTTGCATCCATTTTATGGATAACATAATAGTCAAGGTAAGGATAAAGGCAAAATAGAGGTGACGTAAAGATTTGGAAGAGAAACAGGAGGTGTTAAACATTCATTTTAATTAGGATGCAAGTAGACATGTTCTGATAGTATAGATTTGTCCAGCCACGTTGCTTAATATTTGACTTATGGTCCTAAATTTCAAATAAAACCAGTTAACATGGTTGTGTTTTAAACATAGCAAAACTCACCTGCTAAAGTAAAGATACGAAATGGGGAAAGAGGAGAAGTCACTGTGAACAAAGGTAAGGTCTGAAGATGAGGAAGAAAAATGAATTGTTAATGATCATGATCACGTGAGAGTCAGAGATACAGAAATTGTCCAAATAAAAATAGTTATGTCATTTGAAAAAAGAATGAAGAAGTAAGGGATGGGCAAGGATAGGAAATATTGAGGTGGAGAACATGGAACATGAAAGAATTTGTATTATATGTTTTTAAGCTTAGTAAAGTAGGAAGTATATTCATCTACAGATTAAGCAGCAGATCAGCAGGGAAGTGATGAGAGAAGGAAATAGCTGCATACCTAATAATAGCAGCTAATAATTCAGCATATTAACATTTTAATATATTCATAATAAGGGATATGTTAAATTGTATAATTGAGCTTAGGTGAGGAAGAAGCTAAGGTTAGATGACAAGGATCATAATTTTTTGAGTAATAGGAGTAGAGGGATGAGTCAGTGAAAGAGAACACAAAGTCAGAAGAAGCTGCTTAAAAAGCTATAATGGAAATGAATAAAAAAAAAAGAGGGGAGGGAGAAGAAAGGCTCACATAAAATGTACTCTTCAGAGCATCCAATGTGTCAGGCATTTTAATACAATCTAGAGCTTCTCTTTGTACTTCCGGTTCCTTCACTCCTGTTAGTTCCTCTTCCTTGAGTTTTACATTGGATTTACCAGTATTCAATAAATATTTCATGGCAGAAGTGAAGGAGAAAGGCAGTCCCTTCACCAGGAAAGCCATGGGTCCAAAGAAGCCCCAATCAGAAGACCTGAGGATTAATCCTTGCCATCTACACTGGGGATCATTACGCCAACCATTTTCTATTGACTAGGCCTCTATTTCTTCAAACTAAAATGAGAAGGTTGGACTTCTAAGCTCTCACACCTACACCGCCCCAGTGGAAAACATTCTCAGGAGCTTCTATTTTGGCAGGATATTCAGTGTCATTCTTTTGTTCGTTACTCTTGTTTAATACTTGTCAAATGCCACACATTTCCAGGGCTGCAATTGTTGCCACTTACTGTAACACTGTTTTCCATCAGCTCCCAGCTCAAAGCCAGGGTGGCAGGCACAGGTGAAAGATCCCACTGTGTTTACACAGAGATGGCCACAGTTAGCAAGCTCCTCTGCACACTCATTTATGTCTGCAGAGAGAAACACACAGTGGCTATGTCTTTGGAGCTCCAATTAAGATTTATGTGTAAACCATAAAAATGAATAGAGTATCCATTTCTCCTCAATCCCCAACATCAAGTGTAACAGTAAAATACCACTTCAGCTCCATATTTGCAAATAACTAACTGCTAATGACATTAATTTTAGTGTTGGTCTTATGCTCTCAAATACTTATTTCTATCTATTAAAACCTACTAGTATCTATTAATTGAGAGAAAGAGAAAACAAATAAAAACAAATTGACCTTATCTGTCCCCTAATAATACAGGTAGAAGTCATTGTAGTTTGTCTTAAGGAATGCATGTCACATTCTCAACCAAAAATGGTATCTCCCTGATTTAAGGTAGACAATACATGTAGCTATAGATAAGGCAGATTTGGGGCCTTACTATGTAGCAATTTATAGTATACATTGTAAATATGCTTGTTTCTGGGTCGTGCTATTTAAACGGTGGTGCCCTCTCTTTCTCCTGACACCAATAGCCCAGTCTATTCAGTGCCACTTCATTTTGTGGTCCAGGTAGTCCCTGCTCCTTCCCTGTAAATGGATAGATCTCATCATTGTTTTTCTTACTAGAACTTCCTCCTTGTGCTGTCCTGAATGTCATCCTTATCAGAGTGCTTAGGAGAAATACTCATTCCTGTAAGGTATTAGTAAAACCATAAGTAGGCAGTAACTTGGGGGGTAGACTTTCTACGAATAATGCACCAGATATTAAAATAAAGCTTGAGAGAGAATATATATCTATATCTATATCTACATATATATATATATATATATATATAGAGAGAGAGAGAGAGAGAGAGAGAGAGAGAGAATGTATATATTTTTCAATTTTCCACAAATATTTAAAAAGAGCCTATTCTGTGCCAAGTGCTAAACTAGGCAGGTGCTTTGTAAACAGAAGACCAAAGCAGATATAGTCTGTGTTTTAACACAATCCACAGAAAATTTTATCATAGCTTTGGCTTAAAGAAAAAAAAACTAAACACCAATTTTTATGTCTAATTCTTTTGCATTTTCTCACAGTGTTTATCAGTACCGTAAGTCAGGGAACATTTTTATATTTTCATAATTAATCTAAATAAACTGTTTGTCATGTCATTAAAATGCCATGATAAAAATGAAGGATTCTGTGATTTCTCAAAAGTTATTAAAACAAAGACTGTCCCATAGGAATGACTTCATTTATCAGTTCTGGTCATGGAGTAATTTATCACTTTCATCTTTGATTTGAAGTATGTCTGTTTTTCTATTTTTAGCAAGAGAAAAATATAACCTTGAATTTATAGAGTTTCTTTCTTTTCTTTTTTTTTTTTTTTTGTTTCAATTATCCCTAACTTCTGAGAACACTGATTTGTAACACATATTTGCTTTTCAAAGCTTATCCCCACCTTCTATAGCCTATAATAAAAAACTCCCTGTGTGGTTATGGGAGGTTTTAAAATATTAATTCTGGAATTCACTTCAGAATGAGAAGCAGAAAACAAAAAGCATTAATTCTGAAACTGCACCAGAACTTTTTATTGTAAGGAAAAATTTCACTGAGTTTTTATAGTATCATAACAACACCTTTCAGAATGATTAAATAAGAATACAAATGTTCCTTTTTAAGCATAAATGAAAACACCTTTCTCCTAGCTGTTCTGACTATTCAAACTGAATTACCACAAAATTTCAAACAATTACACAATTAAGCCATCAGCTTCCACTTCCTACCTCCACAGGCCTTTTTGTCTTCAGACAGCTGGTAGCCTGGGCGACAGGCACACCTGGCCACTCCATTCATGCTCTGACAGATGTGGGCACATCCATTCCCACCTGTGCAGGGGTCCATCTCTAAAAGCAATTAAGCAGTGATAGTTTGCAATTAATTAACTTTAGGAAGATATACAGAGTGGAAGGGTGGAGAAAGGTAATGAGGGAACTGGGGCCACTGGATTTCTCACATAAAGATGGTAAGGACTCTTGAAAACTCTTTCCTACTTTCAGATGGAATGAATACATCAAAAAGTATCCCATTATGTGATCTGAATCTCAAAATCTGAAAAAAACAAAACAAAAAACAACTAAAGGATCAAGGCCAAAGAAAAATTAGCTTAATTTCACTCTTCTCAAAAGTAGATCTGCTGCCCATAGTTAGTCAGCAGAAACTCCTCCATATACCTTTGCTTTTTTTCTCCTCCTCTCCTCATCTTTTCTACAACCCTGAGCAGCAGAATTATCCTTAGATAAAACTTTCTACCTCCTCTAGATCTCCTCTACCTCTAGATAAGCAAAAACGGAGAAGATAAGCAAGGTGGAGAGATATGGGAGAGTCTTAGCTACCGCTGCCATGGAAATGAAATAAAGAAGCTCAGGTCCACTGGAATTAGTTAGCTGGCCTCTTCTCCCTCACTTGCCCCTGTCTTAGTATTAGTTATATGAGGATTCTCTGAAAGCCCAAAGTAATGTGAAGACACACATCCCATGAGGAGTACTTACACTCAGAGTTTATTGAATTCATGAGTCAAGTGATTCTGGTCTAATTCTATGAATCCAGCCTTGTGTCCATTACAGGCTGCTGGGTGCAACTGCAGATTTCTACTCCTGCCCTCTCCCATATTAAAAAAAAAAATAACACACAGAATATAAAAAACAAAACAATGTATAAAGCTACCCTGTCCCCATATTCTCCCATTTTTAACCCAACCACTACCATCCATAAATGCTTTCATTAGTTTCTCATAAATCTTTCCAGACTATGAAAATACAAGTGATACAAATATCTATCTGTCTGTCTATCTATCTATCTATCACCTATCTATCTATCTGTCTATCTATCTATCTACCTATCCATCTATCCATCATTTATCATCTATCACATTTATCATTGTTCTGTTCCTTGTTTTTATGGTAGGGAGAGATTGAGTTGAATGTGTAGATCAGTTTGGGGGAGTATTGCCATTTGAACAATATTAAGTTGTTTGATCCATGAGCATGAAATATCTTTCCATTTATTTTAGAACTTTAATTCATTTCAACAATGTTTTATATTTTCCAGTAAATAATTTTTGCACTTCTTTTGTTAAATGTGTTCCTATGTATTTTATATTTTTTGATGCTATAGTAAATAGAATTGTTTATTAATTTTATTTTCAGAATCTTCATTGCTAGTGTATAGAAATCTAATTGATTTTTATGTGTTGATTTTATATCCTTCAACTTTGCTGAATTTTTTATTAGTTCTAATAATTTTTTAAGTGAATTCCTTAATATTTTCTATATACAAGATCATGTTTTTCTCCAAATAGAGATATTTTACTTCTTCTCTTCAATTTGGGTGACTTTTGTTTTAGTTTTTTACCTTTTTGCTCTGTCTGGAACTTCCAATATAATGTTGAATAAAAGTGGCATGAACAGACATCCTTGTCTTGTTTCTGATACTGAAAAGAAGCTTTCAGTACTTCCCTACTAAGTATAATATTAGCTGTGTGTTTTTCATAGGTTTCATTTTTCAGGTTGAGGAAGTTTTTTTCCATTTCTAGTTTGTTCTTTGTATTATAAAAGTATGTTGAATTATGTCAAGTATTTTTTTTTTCTTTTCTGCATCTATTGAGAGGATCATGTGGGCTTTGTCCTTTATTCTATTGATATGGAGTATTACTTTGTTTTTCAGATGTTGAACAAACCTTGTTTTCCTGAGATACATCCTACTAGATCATAGGGTATATTCCATTTCATATATTGTTGGTTGTGGTTTCCTAGAATTTTGTTGATGACCTTTTATATTTACTGGGTTGTTGGAAAAATTACTCATTTTTGCAATGAAAAAATAGAAAAAAATACGTCATGACTTTTCCAACAACCCAATATATTCACATTCATATCGGTCCAGTTTTCTTTCTTGTGAAATCTTTGTCTGGTTTGGGTATCAGGGTAATACTGGCTTCATGGAATGAGTTGGGAAGTGTTTTTTTCCTTTTTCACATTTTGAAATGATTTGTGAAGAATTGTTTTTCTCTTCATTTTATGAATTTCTATACTAATCTTTACTATTACCTTTTTTTCTAATATTTCCCTGTCTTTTTCTCCTTGTGTTCCTTCTGTACAGTATCAGCTCTCTAAGATACAGTTACATTTAAGTCTACAGATTCAATATGCTTCCCAATTTCTCTCTCTCTCTCTCTCTCTCTCTCTCTCTCTCTCTCTCTCTCTCTCTCTCTCATAGACACATAGACAGACAGACACAGACACACACACACACACACACACACACTCACAGACACACACACACACACATTGCTGGACCTTTTTGGTTTTGTTTGATTTCTTCATTGCATCTGTATGTTTTGTCACAGGTTAAGAAAAAGATGTTGACTTACACAGCCATGTTTATACCAGAAACTTTATTTCTTTAATCCATATTCCCTACCACCAGCTTTCAAGATAATGAGATAGGTAACTTCTCTTCTTAACTCTGAAAACTGAGGTGTAAATTCTATCAGACACAAGATTATATAGTTGATTTCAATTATCTTTCATATACTTTTTTCGTTGACCACTACCTCTCGGAACCTCTTCTCTAGATTTACTGTAATCTCTTATTGTCCCTAATGCTTTCTTGATGTCCAACATCTCCAAATATGAGATGTCTAATGTAGTTCCAAGTGCATATAGAGGAAATAGTTAAACAATTATATATAAATGTAGAACAGTAAAGAGAAAGGAAGTCAAGGGTTCTACACTTCACTTGAACTGGTAAAATGATGCCACCAGTAGATAAGCTAGCTATATATAATGCAATTTCTGGAGCATATAGTAAAAAAGTAACATAAAATGATACACCTAAAGCTTCTATGAAAGAAACAAAACAAAATTATAAAAAATGATAAAGTAATCTACAGGAAAACAGAAAAAAATACAAAATCCCCCCAAATAAACAGAAACAACCAACAGAAAAAACTAGCATACAAGCTAAAGCATATCAATAATTACATTAATGTAAATGGCTTACTACACCAATTAAAAGGCCCAGATTTAGAAAGTGCATCAAAAAACATGACTCAACTATATATTGTCTATGTGAAACTCACTTAAAATATAATGACATAGACCAAGCAAAAGTAAAAGCATGGAAATATTATATCATGCAAATATCAATTAAAAGAAAGCAGGAATGGCTATAGTAATATCAGAAAAAGCAGATCTCAATGCAAAAAAAATATCAAGGAGATATTATATAATAATATGAGAAATAACAAGAGTCAATCCAACAGTAAGACGTTAATATATATATATATATATATATATATATATATATATGCACCAAACAATAAAACTTCAGAAAAAGCAGATCTCAATGCAAAAAAAATATCAAGGAGATATTATATAATAATATGAGAAATAACAAGAGTCAATCCAACAGTAAGACGTTAATATATATATATATATATATATATATATATATATGCACCAAACAATAAAACTGCAAAATATGCAAAGCAAAAGCTGATAGAAATGAAGGAGAAATAGACAAATGCATAATTATAGTTGGAGACTTCATCATCAATTAATACAATAACAACTAGACAGAAAGCCATGAAGAACACAGAAGAATTAAATAGCACCATTAATCCACAGGATCTAGTTGACAATTATAAAACATTCCACTTAATAACAGTAGAATATACAAACTTGACAAGTGCCCTCCAAAACACACCAACATGGACTGTATCATGGATCATAAAACAAACCTCAAAAATTTAAAGAACTGAAATCAAACATAATATGTTCTTTAACCACAATGGAGTCAACTGACAAATCAGTAACAGAGATTATAGAAAAATCTCTGAACACATGAAAACTAAACAAGATATTTCTATGCAATATATGAGTCAGAAAGGAAGTCTCAAGGGGAAAAAAACCAAAAACAAAAACATCAAGCTGAATAAAAATGAAAATCTAGCACCAAAAATTTGAGGACACAGCTAAAGCAGTGCTGAGAGAGAAAGAGAGATTTATAGAACTAAGTATGTTGGAAAAGAGTGAAGGTCTTAAATCAATAATCTAAGCCCCCAACTCAAGAACTCAGAATAAAAATAACAAAATAAACCCAAAGCAAATAGCATGAAAAAAATAAGGAAGATAAGAGCAGAAAGCAATGAAATTGTAAACAGAAAAACAATAGAGAACATTATTGACATAAAAAGTCGGTTCACAGAATAGATCAATGAATTTGACAATAAAAGAGTGACAAGGAAAATATGAGAGATTACAAAAATGACCAAGGAATGAAATGGGATATTACTATCTGCCCTGATGACATTAAAAGTATAATAAGGAACTACTATAAACAACTCTGCAAATATAAATTTGGATATTTATGTGAAATGGACTAATTCCTTAAAAGAAATACAAACACCACAACTTGTTCATATGTATGGCCCTATAGCTGTGAAAAAAATAATTCATAATTTAAAGTTCTCCTAAAAAGAAATCTTCAGTTACAGATGGTTTCACTAGAGAATTCTACTAAACATTTAAGAAAGAATTAATATTGATTCTACAATTTCTTCCAGGAAATGAGAAAGAAAATACATTCTAATATATTTTGTGAAGCCAGTATTATCCTGATATCCAAGCCAGATAAACATAATACAAAAAAAAAGAAGAAGAAGAAAGAAAGATAGAAAAACAATACTATGGATCAATTATTACTCATCAGTAATAATGCAAAACATCTTTACAAAATATTAGCAAATAGATTCAATAATATCTATACAAAAGTTATGTAACAAGACCAAACAGAGTTTACTGCAACATGCAAGGCTTGTTCATTATTCAAATGTCAATCAATG